CTAGAGTTGAAAATTACCCGTTTCATGCCATCCATTAGAAGCTCCAGATCTTTGGTAGGGTTGTACAAAGCAGATTCTCGGAGAGCTTGAGCTACGGTCATCGCCAAACAATTGCCCATGGAAGGTGTGGCGACTTCACGAAGTCCCGAAATTCCGACCAGTTTTGTCTCTTCCGTGGGTGCGGCATTAGGTCTTGGTTCCATGGGGATCACGTGACTAGTCCCTGTTGGCCGCTGTTGAATATAGCACTCACAAGTCGACCTCTTCCGACGTTGATTGGCCAAAAGCGTAGGACCCGCAAAAACTGATACCGGTCCTCTGACGGCGGCCGCTTTTTGTCGTGCTAGATCCTCGGGCTTTAATTTAGGAATTCCCTCTTGGAGGACGCATCGAAATGCGTACTCGTACTGAGCGCAGGCTTTGGCAGAGCAGAGGACCCCCTGGTAACAGATTTCGAGGGTGTACCGACCTCATCAAGCTCGTCATCTTGGAGCACGTGATTATCGCCTGTGATAGGCTGGAGTTTGGGGTTCGGCGCCTGTAGGGTAGACCAGATCCTCTTCCTTTTCCATAGAGAAGGACGGGTTAGCCACGGTTGCTCTGGGCGACATTTTGGGGCAGGTTGTGGTGGCGCCTCGTGCGTGCCCGGCGGTATATATACCGATTAAAGAGGTACACCGAAAGCATAGTAGTAGTACAAGTAGTATTAGTAGTGGTATTAGAAGTACAGTATAATCTGTCTAAAGTAATATCGTTGGGACCGAGGCCATGTTATTACTTTACGAAGGATATTACTTTAGGCGGGGACAGAAAATTCAAGGTTTTTTTCAAGTGGGAAAAATATTGCAATCGGCTTTGTTTACATTTTTGATTCTGGCTGCAGCCGCCACCCCCAGTCAACCCCCCCCCCACCTATATAATAGGGAGTCCCCCGCCGTCCCCCGAACTTTTTTCCTCCAAAATGCCTTTCGAAAGGCGCACACTACACGACAATGACGGACAAGATCCGCATTGCTTTGTGTGAGCATCATGATAAGAAATCTCAGCTTAGCCAGAAGGACCTCGTCCAGTCGCTAGAACAAAGTCACAAGGTGAAAGTCGGTCAGCCTACAAGCTCAGGCGTTCTCAAGAGGAAAGCGACAATCTTGGCGAAGGCTGACAACAGCAATCTTGACGCAAAACGTCAAAGGACTGTTAAGTATCCTCAGATGGAATCTGCTCTCGTTGAGTGGTTTCTTAGACACCAGGATCGCGTCAACGTGAGCAGGGATCTTATCAAAGAGAAAGCAGCCCTTTTTCTTGCCCACCTCTACCCTGAGCATGATGTGTTCGAGTTCCCGAATGGCTGGCTGGAACCATTTAAAGACCGGCATGGAATCAAGTCCTTTCGCCATTTTAGAGAGTGGTTCTGTTGACATGATACTCATCGAGAGATCACTCTTTTAACCCCGGAAGACGCTGGACAAGTACGAGTGGAAAGATATCTACAACATAATGAAACCGGGCTATTCTACCGGCTGCAGGTTTGTTTTTAACAAATGGTCTTGTTTGCTACTTTTTGTGACACTTTATGCTTACGTAAACTTATTCACAGGCAGATAATTCACAGGCAGATAATTCGCTGGCAGCCAAGCAGCTGGAAGGCCGCAAACAAAACAAAGAGCGTATCACCTTGGCAGTGTGCTGCAATGACAACGGAAGTGACAAGCTGCCGCTCTTCGTCATAGGAAAGTCGAAAAGTCCGCGTTGTTTCAAAAACATCAACCTTGACACTATCGGCTACACGTACCGAAACAACAGTAAAGCATGGATGATACAAGCCATCTTCAACGAGTGGCGAAAATCATTTGATGCTCGCATGGCCGGACGCCAAGCCCTCCAAATATGGATAGCTGCAGTGCACATATACCGCTTGCTCAACTTCCTACAGTTATCCGGTTGCGCAATACCACGGGTTTTTACCTTCCACCAATTACGACTTCGAGACTCCAGCCGTGCGACGCAGGCATTATCAGAAATTTAAAGGCCTATTATCTCAGGCGCTCCAAACGCTTGCTCCTTCAGCGCCTCGAGCAAAATGTGGAAAATCCGGAGAAAATTGATGTTATTCAGGCCATTCGAATGGAGGTTGGAGCTTGGAACTCAGATGTCAAGGCCGAAACAATTTCAAATTGCTTCCTTCATTGCAAGATTCGCTCGGTTGCTTTGGGAACTTCTGAACTTACTGCACAGCAGCTGGTCGACAATGAGGTCATCGAAAATCTATAATTGCAAATCCGTCAGTTGCGGTACCAGAACCCAATGGACATCGGAGTCTTTTTTAACTACCCTGCTGAGGAGGAGGTCGCCTACACACCAGATGAAGATGAGATCATTGCTGAGCACCTTCGATCTGATCAAGTGGAGGAACAGGAAGATGACACGGAAAAGCTTCCTCGTGTCATGTCATATCAGGCACTCGATGCCACGCAGACGCTTGAATACTTTTGGTTGCAGCAGCCAGACTTGAACCAGGACTTCCTTATAAGTCTCCAGCAAATGAAGGACAAAATTGGGAAGATCGGGACTAACCGACTGGTGCAGAAGCCAATCTTAAAATTCTTTCCCAAGGCCCATTAACTGCTTTGAACTCAATTTTAAAGTCCTCAATATAGTTAGTATTACTTTGGAACATTTTGCGACCAGCCTTTGGCTATCAAGTATCAGATTAGGGAAGTTTATTACATTTAATATGGGTCCCAAGTCGGGACCATAAAAGAATATTACCGTAGGCAGGTTATTGCATTGGGCAGTATTTTTATCGACAGGTTCTACTATAGTAGTTGTAGTAGTAGTAGGGGTTAGGTACACGACCAGTTCAGGGCACGATTATGAATCAATTCGGAGATTTTATCCAGTAATGTAAATAAAACGATTTGGATATGTAAAAACATCATGTCAATGCCATTTTGGCGGCAATTTTTATTCACATCGTTTCAGGTTTATGACATTATTTCGAGAAAATAAAAAATACCCATTTAATCACTATAATACTTAAAATGCCCCACGTCCTAGTTTGACGAATACGCTTGAGGCATCATCGCACGTTTCCTCCCTAAAATAGGCCTGGATACGACGAAGTCTGCAGACATTGAGGCCATCAATAAGAACTAAACAGAACGAATAGATTCATTGAGGTCTATTGATATGATTATGTGTTCTTGAGTATCGAAACTGATAAGCAGGAAGTGAATGCAATACCACAAGAAATACAACATCAATAGCAACAGCAGCACCTTCAGCAACAACAGCAGTATCAACATCAGTATCAATAGCAGTAGCATCAATAACAACATAAGCACCGACTGACTGTGTTTAAGGCCGCGACCGATGATACAAAGACGCGTTTACGTACTTATATATCGCGCCTGCGCCTGCAACTGGTGGCTGCAAGGGCAGCACGCTCGCGGCAGAACCCTCTCCGCGGCTTCCTAAACAGGGCGGGGGTTGGTCACGGCCGTAAAATGGAAAAACGAAAATGATTAAGGACGCGTGGTTTTATGTGTGCCGCATCAACATGAGTTTACTAGGGCGTGGGGTATTTTTTAATATTCGCTATTATATGGGCATTTTTATATTTCAATTATCTGGGGCATTTTTTATTTTCCCCATAATTTTTCAAAGCTATAAGGATTTAAGAGATAAGTCAAAATTGGGCCCATTTTACTAAATACCGATTTAGTTCACGACCACTGGCCGATTACTTCCTGCACTATTTCGTTGATAACCAGCTTGCCTGCGATGTCAATCGTTGTTCCACGCTTCTTCTGCTTGCGTGCAGATTCTGTAGGGAGGGTGAGGATTGCATTCTGGACTGTGGCGACCCCATACGGGCAGCGAACAAGCCAGGAAGCAATGTCGGAATCGCCTTATACTTCCCCAGCTTGACACTCACCGATACAATTGTAGAGATAAAATACAGAGAAATCGTATGGTCCAGTACCACGGAAGCTCTCCATCGCACTGCTACAGTTCTTAATGATGACGCTGTGGTATGCATAGCACGCAAGCCCGATGGATGTCTGTTTGGACAGCGCTGGGTCCGCCGCTTCGTACATTTGAAGCTGCAGGCGATCACGGACGAATAATGGAAGGCTTAGACACGGCCACGTCAAGCGGCTGAAAGATGTGCGTCACGTTTGCTGCCAAGGCAATCATCAGATAATTATGTTCGTAGCAGAAATTCAGCGACTTGAGAAACAATACCCCCGGTTTTAGTGATAATGAGGAAGAATATAACGATCGATAAGGTTTTGCAGAGCTTACCACTATGCACATGCGTGCGCAGTCCTTCAACCTGAATCCCGCTTTCCTGGTCCTGCGTCTTCTTGAACAACGTACGTAACGGAACAGACGACGTCCGCGCAACCTCGGCGTACGATTAACTGTTGCGCACTCTCTTTAGAGCCTTCGACGACGTATTGCTCATTGTACCGGTCGCGGCGCACTACCATCTGCTTTATTCTTTTTTATTCGTTTTGAAAGGCAGAAAATGCTATCCTCTCACCCACAATCCCTCTTTAAAGCGATTAAATTACTGCACACACAGTGAATCGTGCATTAAAGCGATTCAAATTCATCTGCCAATCAATTTGCTTTAATTCGATATAGTCAGATTTTATTGGATAGTAGTCAGCATTGTGCACTAAAGTGATACCGTGCACTAAAGTGATACCGTGCACTAAAGCGATATCGTGCACTAAAGCGATACCGTGCACAAAACTGGTCATCTACCTTAGAAGTAGTACAGTAATAATACAGAAGTGATACCGTGCACAAAACTGGTCGTATACCTTAAAAGTAGCACAGTAGTAGTAGTTGAAGTAGTAGTAGTAGCAGTAGTAGCAGTAGTAGTAGTAGTAGTAGCAGTAGTAGTAGTAGTACATTTTACTACCATCACCATCGCTTCGTGTCGCACTGCTGCTGGAAGTACAAAAGCGACACCCCATCACCTCAACGCAATGTCGGACGCGCTCGTGCGCTTGTCGTCGCTTGTCAGGTCAAAGCTGCTGCGACTGCTACTACTGGCGACTATCGCCGTCTACACAATCGCAATGGTGACGTGGGTGCTGTCGAGTCGCCAGTCCGTTGCGCTTTTGCCCGCACACGCGACGACCGAAGCGCACGCAGCGACAGTCGAGCGGCCGCCACGGGAGGCGCCGGAGATGCGGCAGCTCCGGTGCGTTGGATGGAGAGCGACGCGCAACTGCAGTGCCGACGGCGCGCGCGACGAGGCGCAGGACAAACGGTGCAACGAACGGGTCGAGAGCACTGCGTCCGGCTACTGTGAGGTGGAAGACGTGGTGTCCGGCGAGAGGTTCCGCGTCCTGCAACGCGGGTGTCGCACCGTCCGGAAGAGGGCCGTCTTTACGTGCTCTCGGGCACCGGACGTTGTGGCGTTTCGCGTGGAAAGCGACCGCGTGGTGGAAGCTGTGCGTGCACCTGCGTTTCGGCTGCCTCGGAGTCGCACGCCGAGCACGGAGGCTCGAGCGGGCATTGTCATGGTCGTGTACCCGAGTCTCTTGGCGAGTGTGTACGCTTTGATCCGCACACTGCGAGAGCTGATGCACTGCCAGTTGCCGATCGAAGTGTGGTACCGCCCGGACGAGATGCGGGACGTGCCTGCCGGGCTCAAGACACTCGAGGACATGGCCGAAAAGGACGCAGTGGGTGGCCTCACGATTCGAGCGATCGACGATCTGCGAGCGGTGCGGTTCGCTACAAAAGTGCACGCCATCTACAACAGTGCGTTCGACCACGTGCTGTTCCTCGACGCGGACAACGTGCCAGTGCGCGACCCGACGTTCTTGTTCGAGTCGGAGGAGTTCGTGCGAACGGGCGCTGTGTTCTGGCCGGACTTTTGGTTCCCGCAGTGCACGATGTTTCACATCGTCGAAGACTCGTTGGTGTGGCAACTGCTGGACATGCCATACGTCGACATGTTCGAGCAGGAGAGCGGTCAGCTGGTGATCGATCGACGGCGTCACGCTGCTGCCATGGAGCTCGTCCACTTCTACGCGTTCCACACGCCCAACCTGTTCAAGCAACTCGCTCTTGCGTGGGGTGACAAGGACCTCTTCCGATTCGCGTGGATCAAGCTGAACGCCCCGTTCTTCATGGTGCAAACGCCGCCTGCCATCGCTGGAAAGCTCGTGGGCGACTCGTTTTGTGGCATGACGATGGTCCAACACGATGCCAGCGGACGCGTCTTGTTCCTTCACCGCAACTACAACAAACTGACTGGGCGACCGCACCAGCACGACGAAAAGCACCAAAGCGAACCACAGAAGCAAGTCGGCTCGACGCAACCAGATCCGGATCGTGCTGTCGTGCCCAAAGACGCGATCGCACACGCTAACGCGAACACTTCGGCGCAAACACCTTTGGCAACACTCGAGAGAGCTTCCGAGTCCGACGAGCTACCCGATCCAGCCATATGGACACATTTGTGGTCGTTCCGAAACTCGTCGCCTCGCAACGACTACCGAGTCGTGATATACAAAGCACCACCAGGATTTCCCCCGTTGCAAAAGTGTTACGGCCCGCGCGGTCTCCGTGACAACGAGCACTTTTACGCGCAGGAGTTCGCGTCACTCGACTTTTCCGGCCTCGAGACACACCTGAGACGTTTCGCTATGGAAGGCGCCCAACTAGTGGACACGTTTCGAGCTCCGATGACGAAAGAGACGCGCTAGAGCATGCGACAGACCGGTCGGGGCCTTGTTGTCCCCTTCTCGTGGTCGCACAGCACCACCGACGGCCGATGATAACTGCAATGCAACTTCAACTCGAGGACGTACATGTGCGATCGCTGTTGCACGGACACTGTCGGTAGCTTTTGTTGTACACTCGTCAGGGCGACTCGACGCGCAGGGAAGTGACGCGTCGAATCGATGAAGAGCGCTGCGGGTCGCCACGTTCTCGCGAGGGGTCGAGTTGCAGGCAAAGTCGGCGCTGTCCATGGCCAGAGGCGACCCGCTGGCTGGAACGGACCAGTCGCCTCGAGGTGTCTCTGCTTCTGGACTGTTGTCCGTCTTCATCAGCACACACGTCCACCACGTTCCTCCGTCACGTCGCGTGGGTTCCCGTGCAAGAAGAGTCCCTTCGCTCCGCGTACTGTGCTGTGGCACGCGTCATTGACGCTCAAACTCCACTCGGTGCATCGATGGACATGCGACTGCGCATCGGCTCACCGTCGCGCGCGTCGACGCAGGAAGCGAAGCGACTGGCACTGGACGATAGCGGCCGTCACAAACGAGTGGTCGGCAGAGAGTCCGCGCGACGAGTCGATCATTGCAGCGCCCACTGCGTGTCGTGCGTGTCCCTCACGCAAGTGAGACACGACCAGCGCATCATCAGCCGCTGCTCACCAGTCCCCCTCACTCACTCTGTCTCTCCTACTCGCTCACTCTCACTGTTGTCCACCGACCGCAGACGTCCGTCTCGACTCTGTTGTCTGCCGACCAAGCGGTACAGTGGCTGCCCCGCGTCGTCGACTCGCCCTCCGCTCCGCGTCAGTGCCGCCGCCAGCAGCCCATGCGAGTCGTCACGTGCGCCGCGCCCACGAACATCGCCGTCGTCAAGTACTGGGGCAAGCGCGACGTGGCGCTCAACACGCCCCTCAACGCGAGTCTCAGCGTGACGCTGCACGAAGACCAGCTGCGGGCCACGACGTCCATTGCCAGCGACGCGACGCTGCAGCGCACGCGGCTGTGGCTCAACGGACAGGAGCAGCCGCTCCCCGACCGCGTGGCCACTGTGCTCCAGCAGATGCAGCAGTGGGCCGAGCGCGTCCGCGGCGCACCGGCCGACGCGACGCGGGCGCTGCACATCGCGTCCGTCAACTCGTTCCCCACCGCGGCGGGCCTCGCGTCGTCTGCTGCCGGCTACGCGTGTCTCGTGGCCGCGCTGGCCGAGCTCTACGGCCTCTCGACGGCCGACGAGGAGTTCCCGGGGCAGCTCTCGGCCATCGCGCGGCAGGGCTCGGGGTCGGCCTGCCGGAGTTTGCACGGCGGCTTCGTGGCCTGGCGCGAGGGCCGCCGACCGGACGGCCGCGACTCGATCGCGGAGCCCGTGGCGGACGCGCGGCACTGGCCCGAGCTGCGCGCGCTCGTGTGCGTCGTGAGCGACCGGCGGAAGGACACGAGCAGCACCGACGGCATGCAGCGGACCGCCGCCACGAGTCAGCTGCTGACGTACCGCGTGCAGCACGTGGTGGCCGACCGCCTGGCGGCAATGGAGCGCGCGGTCGCGGCCCGAGACTTTGCCGCGTTCGCGACGCTCACGATGCGGGACAGCAACCAGTTCCACGCCACGTGCCTCGACTCGATGCCGCCGCTCTTCTACCTGAACGAGACGTCGCGCGCGCTCATCCGACTCGTGCACCGCTACAACGAGTGCGCGGGGCGCGTGCAGGCGGCCTACACGTTCGACGCCGGGCCGAACGCAGTGCTCTTTTGCGAGGAGCAGCATGTGCAGGAGCTCGTGGCGCTCGTGTGCCACTGCTTTGGCCGCTCGTCGTCCCCCGTGCCGATCGAGAGCTCAGTGACGTTCGACCGCACGCCGGCGCCGGCGCTGCTCGAGCGGATGCAGTTCCCGTCGGCTGGCGGCGGTGACGGGGCCGTGGAGCGGCTACCGCACGTCCCGGACGGCCTCAAGAGGATGTACGTGTCCCGTGTCGGCGGCGGCACGCGCGTGTTGGCGGCCGACGAAGCGCTGATCGACGCAGCGACGGGAGAGCCGCTGCCGTCTCGCACTGCGACGCTTCGCTGTCCTCCCGGCAGACTCCGATAGTGTCTGCGGCGCGACCAGTGGCTGCATTGTGCGGCCGCTGCAGCCGCCGCCGTCGCAGTGACCAGCGCAGTCCTACTGCGCAAGTAGCAGGAGCGCCGCATGCTCTCACCGACGACGTCCGAGTCGGCAATGCAGCGGCCACACTAGAGACGCAGCAGTCGGTTCGTCGACGTTTTGAGACTCCGTGTGGGCTGTGGCTGGAGCTGCTTCCGCTCAGTCGTTGACTGTCGTGTGAGTTGTGACAGCATCGAGCGGTGGGGAGACGAGTAGACGAACGTCCGCCCGTTGCGAGCTTTGCTACTACACTCGACGTATTGCGTCTGACGGCTGAGGACCCTCCGACGTGCGCGCGTGTCAGTTTGGTCGAGAGAGTATCTCATCTATCAATTAGTTAGTTGGTGCTGTCTGGACGTCGTCGATGGGTCTTAGAAGTCGAGCCACAAAGACAAATGACTATCTCAAGGTGGACAACAGATCAGGCACTACCAACACCCGCAGTGTCAATGCACCGCGACGTGTGTCGTACGCGTCGTGCAGTCCATGACTCATGTAGTATGCAATATGCGCAAAGTCAAAGGTAACGCGATGTTGCGAGCAGCCGTCGGCTGCTTGTACTTTGATGGAGTGAACTCGGTCAGGTGACCGCGCGACAAGTTCGCTACAACAGAATGGAACTCATGGTATTCTAATTATGGCGATTATCATAATGCTCTGATTTATCACGAAATAAAAATACGTTGAAAAATGAAGAAAGGCACCATAGACGGAGAGAAAACACGCATCAGTGATGTATACGATACGACCGAAGAAGATGACACATGTCGGAGACCACGTGGATAAATGTCAATAGTTGGCCTCATGATTGCAACGGTGCTGCCGCGAATCTTGAAGAAAGAGATTTTCAACGACTTGGAGGTGCCGGATCCGTCTCTTGTGTATCCATTTATCACAGAGTTTACTTCATAAAAGTTGTTGACACGCCGGTGCCTTTGTCACAGGATACACGAAGTCGACGACGCGAGCAGCACGAATCAATGCCGCATGTAAGGGACTATGCTTAGAATACATACCGTAATGATGTATCGAATATTGTGTGCCAAGTTCGATATGGGTCAAGAGTACCGCGCTGCTACGCTTCGTATGAGCATCATGTCCTGCACTGCAGATGGCAACATTGCGTCTATCCTCTCAGTTTTCATCGCTGCGATGCCCACATCACCGCCGACATCACTGCCGATATGAGGTGCTTTTTGTTGTAACGAGGCCACAATACTCCATCTGCATTGTTTGTTTTATCCAGCGTGCAAGCTATCTTTGCATCCGCAAGCATCCGTGTGACCACCTGCAATAGCACGATCACCTGCAATAGCGCGATCACCTGCAATAGCGCGATCACGTGCATTAGCACCTAAACAATTCCGTCAGCTTTCCGATAATTTGTCGCTTTTTGGTCGTTTTGTCTATTTGCCGTCACTTGGTGCTACATTGGTCGTACCATTTCATGTCTTACAGGGCACTGTGTACTCGCTGTTTAAACTCGGCACCGTCTCATCCCATCCAGTTTCGACGATACGAACGAGACGACAGCTATAGGTCAATTCCCAAGAGCACAAATACTGGATGAAAGAGCTAGAAGCAGCGCGACCCTGTCATCAAGCAATGTACGACACTGGGCGGCTACGTTTGAAGCGTCACTGCACCCTAATGGTTTCGCAAGACGACTGAAGACAATTCTAATGCATTCTTTATCAATCAGTGAAACAAAAGGGGGAATAAAGATTTCTATGCGCAAATACGAATAAAAGAGTGCAGGAATGCATATATTCGGTCGTATAGTATACGGCGTCCTTTTTTCGCCATCTTGTGATGCACAATGTTTTTTCGAATCAATTTATATGACGTATAATAGATTGGTCGATCGCAATATATGTATAGTTTGTACTGTTTTAAAGGATTTAACAAAAAAATATAATCGGATCTGTTTGCCAGCTCATGTTGAAGTGCACTCATCGCCATTACAGGCTGACGTTTGGACGCACAGCTGTCTGATGCGTCGCGACATCGGCGCTGATGCAGCTGACTATTTATTGCCATCAAACAATGTAGTGACAGCCGACATCATGGAAAATTGCTTATAAGATAACTTTCCTTCGCTTCGCTGTCAATGGTGTCAATTGTGCTCTTGTGTCTCACGTCGCTATAACGAAAAATGACTTCAATAGCTTCATGGCGCACGGTGACGTACCACATGGACGTATAAGACATGGTTTGCGTGCGTTGCAAACGAAGGATATAGGAAGTATTTGAACAGCATATTAGTGGCAAGTACTCTCGTTCGACGACCCTACAACAAGCATTTCACCGGCACTGCAACTTGACCAGGTCAAGTTGTATACAGCGCACGTCCAGTACGCCCATCGTCACGCATTGGTCCCACTTGAAGTCCGTATTTCCTCTTCCCACATGTCATGACATCTTACTCAACCACACGGCGACCACATCACCTCGTCCCATCTTTCAAGTTGTCACTTATTAGCCATTCAGGCGCTGATGAAACTTGCCGACCTCGCCTTAATGGCTGGTGACTGAAAACTTGAAACAGGTTGTAGCAGGTCTGGTAGTTGAACCTCGAACCGCTCATGGCCTGTCATAAATAATGTCCTCCAACAGTACCGCGTACCTGTGCGCGGACGTATCGACGCCGCTAAAGCTACTTCTCGTGTTTTCGTCACTAGTTGTCGCTTCGACTATTACTTGACTGTCTGCACGATGCAGAACGGCACATTCGTAGGTAATCCATACCCCATTAATGCACCTTACAGACTGTAATTTGGCTGTGTAGTCATGCTTTGCTGTTTGCGAAAACTCGAGTTGTTACAATTTGGACTGGGGATTGCAAAACAGACAATTCGCAAACAAACGCTGCACCCAATGCAGTTCATATGCTGCAAACTGTCTCACGATCAAGCAAGTCAAACGGCGTAAACGCAAAAGTCAATCAAACAAACTTACGAAGTCCAAACGTTTGTATTTGAGCTTACGTAGTTTTCTGGTACATCACGAAACATTCTATCGGTAAATGACAAACCAAAAACATCCTGCACCACTATCGGCAACGCTTCGTATCGGACATTTACTTGGCATCACTGGCGAGTTGGGAGGTCAATTACATAATGAACTTGATGCTAACACCCGTTTCTCGATGAATGAATGACCTGTTGCATATGACCCCTGGGCAACTACGTAAACGATTCGAATGCAGCGCAAGTCACGAGGTCGATTGCGAGATTGCAAAAGCAGTGTATTTCGAAGGGAGTCTGCGTGCCGCAAGCTGCTATTCCCGCGTGTGGAAGCTGCGTCCAAAATACGAAGCTCTGCTTTCGTTACATTCATCAGCGACGAACTTTGAGATGTACCGCTGACACTGTACTAGCGCTTTGTACTTCTCCGTGCGCTTTTGCGTCAATACAGAGCATGTCGTCATTGAGTAGATACTGGCCACAGACAGAGCAGTCGCTTTACCGGCCCGTTGGCAAGCGCATCTCACTGCTTCAGCGCAATCTCGTACGTCTGTTCTGCGATGCTGCGCTCCTCGTCTGTGTTGACAACCATTACCTTGGTTGTCGCGTGGTCAGCCTGGATCTCGACGGGGCCTGCACCCATCGTTGATGCAGCGTTCTTCGACCCGTTGATCTCAATGCCGAGGAAGTTCAAATTGCGACACACACGCTCACGAATCGAAGCCGAGTTCTCACCAATGCCAGCGGTGAAGATGATTGCGTCGACATCACCCCCGAGCTCAAGCGCGTAGGCTCCAACGTACTTGCGCACACGGTGGGCAAACACGTCCAGTGCAAGCGAAGCAGCCGCGTCGTTGCTATCGCGCACGCGGTCATGAATGATACGCATGTCACTTTCTCCACAGATGCCGAGCAACCCGCTCTTCTTGTTGAGCATCGTGTCGACCTCTTCGATCGTCATGTCGAGTTCCTTGCAGAGAAAGGCGTGTAACGCAGGATCCACGTCGCCGCAGCGAGTGCCCATGACGAGACCTTCCAACGGGGTCATGCCCATACTCGTGTCAATACATCGGCCGTTCTGAATCGCAGCCACACTCGATCCATTGCCCAAGTGGCACGTGATAAAGTTGCACACATGCAGCGACTTGCCGAGGAGGGCCGCCGCCTTCCTGGCGACATACTGGTGACTCGTTCCGTGGAACCCGTAGCGGCGCACGCCAAGCTCCTCGTAGAGCGTCTGCGGGACGCCATACGTATAGGCCTTGGGCGGCATTGTGGCGTGGAATGCCGTGTCGAACACTGCGACTTGCGGACACGGCCCAAAGACTTCTCTTGCCACGTCAATGCCCAAGAGGTTTCCCGGGTTGTGCAGCGGCGCGAGCTTTGCGTTCTGCTCGATGGCGTCCCGCACCGCCTGGTCCACGAGCGAGGCCCGACTGAACGCCTCGCCGCCGTGCACGACGCGGTGGCCAACAGCTCGGATGCGGTGTAGGTCCGCGCCGAAGAACTGGGCCACGACCGCCTCGAGCGCCGACCGATGCGAGTCGAGCGGCATCTCCACCTGTTCCCTTTTGCCCGTGGCCAGCGACTTGTGGATGATACGTCCGTCTCTGCGCTTGCCAGCAGCAGCAGCTGTCGTAGTAGTAGTAGTAGTAGTAGTAGTAGTAGTAGTAGTAGCAGCATAGGGGCAAGTGCTGCCGCTGCTGCTGCTGCTCGTGGAAGACAGCTCGACGAGGCCCGTGAACACAGCGGCGCCCACGCCGTGAGGCTCGAGGCCGAACAGCGAGTACTTGAGCGAGGAGCTGCCGGCGTTGAGCACCAAAAGGTGCGAATGGGCTGCCGATGGGCTCGAGAACGCGCGTCGAAGCGGTGGCAATTGGGCTGCAACGGACGGGAAGAAGCGCATGGGGGGCGTGGGACGGCGAACGGCTCTGTGCAATAGGAATGGGCCCCGAAGAGCTACGAGCTGCGATAGGAATCCGAAAGCCGACGGGAGCGCTTCACAGTAGTGCGACGAGTCGGACAGCTGGAGCTGCAGAGCGTGCAAAAAAGCGGACACCGCTGTCCTACACTGTGTACTCCGTCTATAGCACAGTATAGCAGGCTGTCGGCACGAATAGCCAACTGTTCCAGTGATGCACAAAATCTTCGGTACTTGCTAACTGGATAGTATCGGGCGCGCAGCTATTTCGGGGCTTTGTCCATTTTCGCATGCGGGTAAAAGCGTGGCCCGCATTACGCGTCAGGTGTTTATGGTTCACGCACACGAACGTCATATCTGCTTTGCGCGCTCTTCGTACGTTGACTTGTATTCGTCAATTATTTCCTACTTCTCGAGGTATCGTTCAGTGGGCTGGTAGATCTACTGTGTCGGCTTACTGAACGGACCCTTGACCTGCTTGATTCTGCAAGCTGGTGGGCTTTTACAGCAAGCTACCCCGCATTTGTAACGGGGTTACACGTCGAGTGGTAGTCGACAATCGGTGTGGTGCACACAAGCGATGAAATCCATTTTAAAGTGATATTAGAAAACAGCATCAATTGTTGAAGACTGATGTCTGTCAACCATTGATTACGAGATCTTTTGAGAGGTTTATTTAGGACATTAGCTGTAACGGGGTAGCCCGTTACATGAAATTGTCATTACAACAATTTGACAACAAAGAATATTACGTCGAATATTCTTTTAACCATATCACAGACATGGTGATATTGTTGGGATGACCGAAGGGTCTACTCATTGGTTGATATCGTGATGATATCAACCCACCAATCGCTGCTAGACGCGCGCAATGGGTGGTGAGTAGACGTCATCATACATATATTTATATTAGTATAATTAAGTCAGGACAACAGAGATTCAAGGAGTTATAGGACTTGATTATATTAATACAGTTTTACTTTTACCAAGAGACTAGTCTGACTACTTAGTCTCCTTTCCTTCCTCTGTGTTCCTTTAACACCTAGCAGGGCACTGTCGACCACTGTCGTCAGTGGAAGTATACTCCGTACTGGTCAACCAGTACGTGGTCAACAGTGCCCCGTTACACCTGGTAGGACTTTGTAGTCCGTCCAAGGACCACAACCCCATCGCCCAACATGAACATGTTGGACGATGTAGACGGCAACAGCTTTCACGGAACCCGTGAAAGCTACTTCCATTTGAGCGACATCGAATGGAGTGCGATCGAACGAATGAGTTCGACCGTTGGCGAGGAAGCCATCTGGGCCATGCTATCCTCAAGGGATAGGGACCAGCAACATGTCGTCATTAGCAAGTTCTTGCAACGAGAACTTGATGAGTCGCGAGCACAGATGACCTTGTTACAACAACAAGATCACCAGCGGACCGAAGCACTGCGACAACAACAGTCTCAGTCCGCAGAGCCGACGCGTGAGCGTCGACGGGAGTATCTAAATCTATAGGTCTCCAAGTATAGGGGAGTCGAGGAAGACTCCCTGTTGAGGTGGTTCGTCGAGCTGGACGATGCCATCGATGCTCGTCGCATCGATGATGAGCGAATGCAAGTCTCATTCGCTTAGTCTAACCTGGCAGGAGAAGCCAGAGCTTGGGCCCTGAACCTCAAGTTGTACGACCCACATGTGTTTGGGTCGTTGAGAATCATCAAGACCCTGCTCAGTGAGACGTTTGAGCCGCCCAGAGCAGAGTTCAGGACTCTTTCGGAGCTCCTGCAACTCAAGCAGGGTAAGCGTAAGGACACACTTACGCCCAACATGTACGCTACCTTGCAAGCTGCATGGTACTGAACCCTGTGAGTGAGTTTGTGTTGATCACAATCTTTATTCAAGGGCTTTCAGACGGTCCCATTAGGGGACACCTGTTCCGCGGAGAGCTAAAGACGCTCTCAGAGGCAATCTTCGCAGCGGAGCAAGAAGATTATAGCGTGGGACAGTCTTACGCTACGTTGACCCCGCATCGTCCACAGAGACGATTAGCAGTCGGAGGTCCAGAACCAATGGACCTCTGACAAGTCGAGGGCGAGAAACCTCGCCCTATGAACGACTAGCGAATGGTGAGATGCCATCGTTGTCACAAGTTGGGACAATATGCATATGAATGCAGTGTCCCCCGCTCAGAACCTCGTGATGCTAAGCGCAGTATTCACCCACCAGCAAGAAGAACTGGAGGGCGAGGGTCCGTTGCTGTTGCGAAGTCGCAACAGCGTAGTGGAATATCAAAAAACGGTCGGGATCAGTAGGGGCGGAGCGCCCTATTGATCCAGCAACACCAAGGGAATTTGCAAATCTCCTCAAGAAGGTTGCTCCCGACACGCAGTCCCTGTGTGTCTCTGCACCTGGTGATGAGGTGTCTCTCATCACCTTGAAGTTAGAAGTGCTAAAAGACTTGTCACTTCGCGCCCTAGTTGACTGAAAGGCGTCGAACAATTTTGTTCGTCGCCAGTCGCTAGAGGCAGGAAGTTTCAACTTCGTGGAGCGGAAGATCCCTCCAACGAAGATGAAGGTTTCCCTAGGGACAGGCGCATTGATCACTGTGAAATAACGTGGAGTCGGAATCCACTACACGTTAAAAGGCGAACAGTACGATGATGATTTCATCGTGCTTGACCTAGATGACAAGTTCGACGTCATCTTAGGGTTGCCTTGGCTCAGAAAATACTAGCCAAGGGTGAGTTGGCAGTATCGATCGGTTACGATACCTGCCACTTGTTCGTCAGATAACCACCTGACGAATATCTTGGAACGCCCACACATACGTGGGTGTACTACGAGTGAGTGCGATGGCCTCACTTGTGGTACGGTCGTTAGCACTACTGTACAAGAACACAATGTAGATGATCACTAAACTGTGGAGAAAGCTCACCCAGATTCTGTGGAAGTGATTTCCCAGGAGGTAATCGAAATAGTGAATGTCTTGGTTAATGATGGATCAAGCGTAGGCGCTTACGCGCTTGATCCGGTTGCGCCTACGAAGTTAACGTCGGAGATAACTCAACTGCCGACGCTAGAACCAAAACGGTTTTTGCGTGATCTGCGTAGTGGCAAAGTCAAGCTGATTAGTGTACTCGTCGCGGAGGACGAGTATGTGACCGATATTCGATCGGCAACGGTATTTGCTGAGAACGAACGGGTTCTCAGCAGTTCATCGATGGACGGAAGTGTCATCGATGAGAAGACTTGGATTGGGAGATATGAATCTCAATCCTGGGAGTCGCTTTAGGAAAATCCTTTGTATAAGGGTTTGATCGAATTCAAGGATGTGCTCCCTGAATCCGTACCTTGCGAGTTGTCTGAGGACAAAGGAACTCGACACGAGATCGAGCTCAAACCGGGCTCGAAATATTGTGTCATGAAGCAGTGGTCACTGCCTCGTGAACAAGTGATAGCGATTGACAAGTTCTTTGCCGATCGCTTAGCAGCGGGCCATGTGAGGTAATCGACATCCCTTCACAGCTCTCCGACCTTCTATGTGCGAAAGGCCACAGGGTGCTGGCGGATGGTGCACGCTATCAGCAAGTTGAATGCTGCAACGGTACCGGCTCAGACGCCGATACCAATAAAGGACGTAATCATAGATGGTATGTCAAAGAGCACCATCTTTTCATCCATGGATCTGATGGATGGGTTCTATCAGATCCTCATGCGTGAACGGGACATCCAGTTCACGGCAGTGAGTACCCCCAGCGGGATGCTGTGGGAGTCGCTAGTTATGCCACAGGGGCTGAGCAATGCCCCTGCAACATTCAAAAGATGCGTTACAAATCCATTGAGACCGGTGCGTGATTTCGCACCGAGTTACTTCGACGATTTGTTCGTCCATAGTCGGGCTATGGACGGAAAGACGGACGTTGAAGTTCACAGAACTCACGTTCGTCAAGTCATTCAACTTATGCGCAAGCATAAGTTGAATGCCAACCTCAAGAATTGTATATTCGCGGCTTGCGAAATACCACTTCTTAAGTGCATCGTGGTTAAACACGGCGTACGCCCTGATCCCGAAAAGATCAAGGCGATCACCGACTGGCCAGTGCCAGTCAATGTCAAGGGACTAAAGAAGTTCCTTAGGCTAGCGGCGTACTTGCATGAGTACTCGCGCAACTACGCCGAAATGACGGTACATCTTTCTTGTTTACTCAAGAAAAATGTCAAGTGGTCATGGAACGCTGAGTGCCAGCGTTCCTTTGAGGGTATCAAGCGGAGCTTGATGCAGTCGCCGATCTTGGCGATTGCAGATCAGGACAGACCTTTTCATGTGGTCTGTGACGCCAGCGATTTTGCTATCGGCTGTGCGTTGATGCAGTATGACACAGACGGCGCGGAGCGCGTCATCTGGTATCAGTCGCGTCAGCTGCAAGCAGCTGAGCGTAATTACCCAGTGCATGACAAGGAACTCCTTGCCATGAAGTACGCACTGGCTAAGTTTTGCGTCTATCTCCTGGGAGATAGACCGTTTGTTGTCTATACGGACCATGCGTCATTACGCACGGCCGTAAACAGTCCACACATCTCGTAAAGGATGGCGAGGTGGCTGTCCTTCTTTGCGAAGTATAACTTCTCCGTGGAGTACAAGCGAGGAAGACTTAATGTCGTCGCTGATGCATTATTACGTCGGCTCGACTTCGAGCCAACGACCCGAGTCAACAGTTAGGCCTTGCCCACTATTGCGACACTGTCCATCAGTAGGCCGTCGTCGCCGTTACTCGACGACGTGCGGAAAGCATACGCAGGAGACACGAATCTCCTCCGTTTGATGGGTCATCTTGCGAACCCATCCCGGAAATCCTTGTCGGATTTGCCGGTCCTGTACCGTTCCCATTTGGATCAATAAACTACTCGCAATGGCCTGCTGTACTATACAGCAGTTGCCGACGATACGCCTCGTGTCGTCGTTCCCGATCATGATGAATTGCGATTACGCATCATGTT